CAACAGCCATCAATGGCATTGATCGAGAGAGGCAGCCAAGAAGAAGGGCGTCTAGCCCAGGTGAGAAGGCAGGGTCCTGGGGACAGGGCTACCAGCAGCCCTGCAGAGGAGAAACCTCATGCACTGGACAGCTTACCAGCCCTCTTGAGGGAAATCAGACCTTCGTTAGGAACTTATGAAGTTCCTAACCTGTAGCCGACAAAGAGAATCCCTCTTGCCATCATGCAGAAGCGGTCACCCACACCTGCATTGAAACGACCTGCAATTGGCATCGACTTGGGTACCACGAAATCCTGCGTGGCGCTCTTTCGGGACAGCAAGGTAGAAATAATCCGCGATGACCAGGGCGCCCGCGTCGTGCCCAGCTGCGTGGCTTTCACCAAGACCGGGAGGATGATGGGAGAGGAGGCTAAGAGCCGGGCAGCCCTCAACGCGCCGAACACCGTATTCAGCACCAAGCGCTTGATTGGCCGCAGCTCCAAGGATCCAGCTGTGCAGGCAGAGGTGGCGTTCTGGCCTTTCCAGGTCGTGAGAGCGAACGAGAAGCCCCGGGTGCAAGTGTCTTACCAGGGCAAGGAGAAGGCTTTTTTCCCAGAGGAGATCTCTGCCATGGTGCTGGGCCACCTAAAGGAGATGGCGGAGGCTTACGTGGGACATCCCGTCACCCACGCCGTTATCACGGTGCCGGCGCACTTCAACGACTCCCAGCGCCAGGCCACCAAAGACGCCGCGACCATTGCTGGCCTCAATACAGTGAGGATCCTCAACGAGACAACAGCAGCTGCCCTGGCCTACGGCTTAGACAACCCTAGCAGCAAAGAACGCAACGGGCTCATCTTCGACTTGGGTGGAGGATCCTTCAGCATCTCCGTTTTCACCATGGATGGGGGCATCATTGAGGTGAGGGCCACGGCGGGGGACACCTGCCTTGGCGGAGATGATTTCGATAACTGCCTGGTGAGCTTCTTCATAGAAGAATTCTTTAAAAAGCATCAGGAGAACATCAGCCAGGACAGGAGAGCTGTATGGAGGCTCAGGATGGCCTGCGAGACAGCCAAGCGCCTGCTGTCCTCCAATGGGAAAGCCAGTGTCCGCCTGGACGACCTGTACAAAGGGATCGACTTCCATGCAGACATCACCCGGGCCCAGTTTGAGGAGCTGTGTGCCGGCCTCTTCCAGAGGACTCTGGAGCTTGTAGACAGGGTGCTGCAGGATGCAGGTCTAAGCCAAGCCCAGATCCACGATGTGATCCTGGTCGGCGCCTCCACCCGCATTCCCAAGATCCAGGAGCTGCTCCAGGATTTCTTTGCAGGCCGGCAGCTGAACAGAAGCCTTAATCCCGAGGAAGCCGTGGTCTCTGGGGCAGCTGTCCAGGCTGCCATCCTCGTGGAGGACAAGTCACAGGTCACCCGGAGCTTGCTTGCCTTGGATATAGCATCCCTGTCCCTGGGGATCGAGGCAGGCATAGGGAAGATGCACACCCTGATCAAACGCTGCTCGGCCATCCCCGTTGTGGTCACCCGGACCTTCACTACTTTTGACGACCACCAGCCTGACCTCGTCATCCGAGCCTACCAAGGGGAGGGGGCGACCACCGAGGAAAACCACCTCCTTGGCTCTTTCCTCTTGAAGGGCCTTTGCCCTGTCCCTCGTGGCATGCTGTTGGTGGAGGTGACCTTCTACATCAACGCGGATGGCATCCTGACAGTGTTCGCCCACGACAAGGCTTCTAGCAATGCTAGCCCGATCACTGTCGATGCCCATAAGGGGCGGCTGAGCAGAGACAAGCTGCAGAAGCTAGCAGCGGACCATGAGAAATACCAAGCAGAAGACAGGGTGCAGAAGTGGAAGCTGGTCACCAAGAATTACCTCCAGTCCTGCGCTTTCAGCGTGAAGCGGACCTCGGAAGACATCCTGTGCTACCTCACCTTGCAAGCCAAGAAGAAGATGGTGGAGAAGTGCCAGCAGGCTCTCTCCTGGCTGAGTCCAGCCAGATGGCTGAAAAAGAGGAGGTCGGGGCCAATGAAGATGCTCTCGGGACCATCAGTGTCGGGACCAAAGTCCCTCGGTAGTAGCACAGCAGGGATCAACAGGAAAAGGCCGAATAAGTTTGTGGTCACCACTTGCAGCTGGACCGTCCAGTTTACCCAAACCACCACTGTGATCTACCCTTAGGAAGTCCTAGCTGGGCTTGCTGGATGCTATTTGGGCCCTGGATTTACCACCCAAGATAGCCAATTAATAAAGGGCCCCTTCCATGAATTAACAACCATCAGCCTCAATAAATTCTGCCTCTCACACTTGTCCATACGGGTGTAATTATTGATTAATGGGCAAATAGTAAGCCTCAGGGCACAAGGGCTGGGATTTTCAAAGGAACCTAAGAGAAGGTTGAGCAGGATCCTGTTGCCTTTCATCCAAAGGCGGACTTTTGAATCCTGGTCTTGGTTCATGTTTCTGAGCTTATTGTCTACTGGAGGGACCAGGCGGTGAGCTCTTGATGTCAAACCTATGGAGCAGGAGTGGCCAAACTTCCTAGCTCTTTTAGCTGCAGACCAAAATCTTGACCCAACCAAGAGCCACAGGACACAAACATTTTGAGAGATGCATGCCCCAGAGGCTGTGATCTGTGCACAGCATCAGACTGCTTCTCTTTCTCCAGGGCCCACATTTAAAGTCTCAGGGAGTGAAATGCTGCTCATGAACCATGGTTCGTCCACCACTGCAATAAGAAATCTGTCCTTTTCCAAGGACAGCTTAGCATGATCTCACCCATCAGAACACTTTAGCTGCAAATGCAGGAGGCACATCCCGGTTTTAGTTGCACTTGGATAAAGCTATAGTGACTCGTTGAAGCTCACAGAATAAGGATCAGTGTTTGATCTCAGTTACGCTAGCATGCATCTAGAGTAATTCCACAACCACCCATTCCAGATTATGGCCCGTCATGCAGGTGTGGCTCTACAGGTCTGGAAACATTAGTCCTTTCACACGAGTCCTTTCTAGTTTGCCTTCTTGCTCCACTAAACAGTCCTGATCTCTTTAACCCTCCCAAAATGATGTTTTACCTCTGTGGTTTTCAACCTGTGATCCGCAGACCCCTGGAGGTCTGCAGCCTTGCCTAAGGGGTCTGCAAAAGTTGATCCATCACAAGTATGTGAATACCCACGCTAACAAAAAGAGTTCCACACCTCCATTCAACAGTTTTTAGGGGTCTGCAAATGAAAAAAGATTGAAAAACACTGCTTTAGCTGCTCTGCCTCCTTCCTCTTCTGCTGCATCTCCATGCATCAAATTATTAGACCCATGAAAAATGTTTGAGGCAACCACACTTCCCACGCCCCCCCAAAAAAAACCAAACCCACAATACTGCACAACCCAATCTCCATGCTCTGTGATAAGTTCAAACTATAACGTGCAAGTTCAAAGTATAACATGTCGCATTTCGATGTGCAATCTGGGGACAGCCAAAATTGTGTTTCACTATCTTCATCAAAAATCAAACGCCTGGAAATCTGAGCTCCAGATAATTTCTCCTCGGTGCTCTTCTCCCTCTGCAGAACATAAATTCAAGCGCGCATCCTACTGCGACTACTTAAAGACCTCCTTCCAACATCAACCCAGCCAATCGCAAAAGAAAGTGGACCAAGAGGAGAAAGAAAACAAGAAAACATTGTGAAATGCTGCCCTCTCATGGGGGGAATCCTCCTACCTGTGGATGATCTTCCTGCATCTCAAGTACTGAAGACCAGTTCTTCTTAGTGCAACAGGTACCCTGCTGAGGCATGAACTGTTGGTCCTCCCTGGAGCTGGGACCTCGTGCTGCTATTCCAGGATACTTGCATATCTTCCCATTCCTAACCTAATGTTCATATTCTCTGTACCTGTTGTGGGTGCTTACAGAGCTCCTGTTGGGGAGAGGTTGCTGGGGTCCTGCATACAACCCCTTGTTGCAGTGAGGGGCATTTGAAAAGCCTTGTTGGTTATAGTCGTGTTGGTCTGAGGACACAGGCAGACAAGGTTCTTTGGGTAAATGTGAGATCTTTTATTAGACCAGCTAAATAGCTGGGGAAAATTGTTCTTTGCAAGCTTTTGGGTACAAACACCTTTCTTCAGGGAGTTTAGCAAGACTTTTCATCACTTGTCTTCCAACTGGCTGGAGCAAAGGGCAGAGGGCTTGGAGGCGCGGAACAGGACCTGTGCCTCTGGAGTCAACAGCAAGCGCTCGAGTGAGTGATCAAAAAAAAAGCATCATATGGAAACTTGTTCTAAACACGGCAGAACTTTATTTGCAAGAGAGAGAAGTGAGAAACCCAGCCCCGATCACCAGCCTCAGTGAGCCGGGCCAGCCCGCATGGCCTCACACCCACAGCTGGGACCAGACTGTTTAGGTCTCAGCTGCTCTCGGGGGAATCCATGCCTGGGCTTGTGCTGAGATCTCTTGAAAAACATCAGTCCCTCCGCTGTGGGTGTTGGGCCTGCTGGAAACTGTGCCCAGTCCGCACTGAGCAGGCTATCACTCACGATGGCAGAGCCCCAGGCAGAGGTCAGCAAGACGACCTTAACTGCAGTAGCTTGGCACAGAGACAGAGGATTGCTTCCACCTTAAGTCTGCAGCACTGAACTATTAGCTGTGGGCATGCGGGATAAGGAGGGGGGCTGCACTCAGGGAAAGGATAGGAGCTGGAGAGGAAAACAACTCAGCCCCTGGTCTGCTCATTAATGGCAAGAGCAGCTCTTCTGCTTCGTGGAGAGGGGGCAGGGGAAAGCGTGGGGAGAAGGGAGACTGCAGCAGGTTAGCAGCAGTGGGAGCATCTTTAATAGAAGTGCAGGGCTTGCATTCAAAGCCACTGCCATGCACACAGACTGCCAGGAGCCCCCAGAGTACCAGAGGGAGAAGAGAGCAAGGGGGAACCCACTTGGGGGAAAGACAGAGCACCTCTGCCCAGGCCCCTCCAAGCAGCCTGGTGCTGCCTGGGTCCAGCTGGGCTGGACCCGGCCACTTGTTAGGCATTTGTTAGCACAGTCAGACTTTGCATTTCCATAGCCTCTTCTTGGACTCTAGTCAGGTCTGACCCAGGATGGTATCACCTGCACATTACAGCTGGGGAGACTGAGGCACGGAGAAGGGGGTCACTGAGCAAGTTGGTGGGAACAGACCCCAGGAGTTGCAACTCCGAGCCCTACAGCAGGGGAGCCAGGGCTAAGGAGACTGCAATGGGAGCTAGGGGGGCTTTTGCTGCACCAGGTAGGGTGCTGGATGTGGGCAGGGGAGACTCCCAACTTGGGAGTGGAGGGGGAGAGATGCATCAGTCTGCACCAGGATCTGGGGACAAGACCAAAGTGCAGGCTGCTGCCTAGCTGGCCTCTCCTAATAGCAGAGGGGGCGTTTGCCAGCCGGGCGTCCACCCTGCCATTGGGAGAGAGGCAGCTCCCAACCCAGAGGCTCTGCCTACTGGGGCCTGATTTTCATGTCCACGTACTTGTAGGAGTAGTGGTAGCCCTTCCCCGCGGACCAATTGATCCCATTGGCAAAGGTGCTGTGCTGCCCCTTGAGATAGAGCCCATTGAGGTTGGAGGAGTGGCACTTCCCGTACCACCAGGCGCCTTTGTAGAGGATGGAGCAGCTGTTCTCAAAGTTGTCGTTGTCTTTGTCCATCGTGGAGAACGGCAGCTTGTTGTGTCCGCTCAAGGAGTCTCCTGCGGAGGGGAGAAGACGCGTGCCACGTGGTTTGGCCTGGCTGGACTTTCTCTTGCGCACAAGCTCATGATGCTCTTGCCATCCCTGGCTGCAGTGAGAGCAGAGCCTTGCCTCTACATTGCTGGTTGCTCTTGATACGCAGAGCAGCTGCTTCTCTTGCACTCTTTTCTGGGGTGGTGCCCACCGGGCTTTCTCCTCTGTGGCTTCTGTCCGTAGCTACATGCCCTGCTACCCTTGTCTTTAACAGCCCTAATGCCTGAGACTGCAGATGCAACAGACCCTCCCACCTGCCCTAACCAGATGGCACAGGCACCAGGCCAGGCTGGCACACCGGGGCCCAGCTGCTCACCCCTGCCACAGCCAACCGTGCCTGGCAGCTGGTGCCAGGTCACCCACGGAGCGGCCCTCGCTCGTGACTCACCCATGTTGCCGTCGAGGAAGGAGCCCAGGGCGAGGGCGTACTTTTCCTGCTCGCTCAGGATTTTGAAGCTGGTATATGTGGCAAACGTGGCGCTGTCGTTGAAGTCCCTGGCGTCAATGCGCAGGTGGTGCGTGTCTGGTGCCCGAGGGAGAACAAGGCATCAGTCCCCAACAGAGCGGCGTGGGGGTGACGCCACGTCTCCCTGCCACCACGGGGACTGCAGACCCGCCTGCAATGCCATTAGCCTGCTTGGTGGGTCGGGGGGAGGAAAAGCCCCAAGCCCACCCCCCTAGCCTGCTGGACACTTATTTTTCACCATGCGCAGAAAACAACTTCACAGCCCTTAAAGTGCTGGGTTGCCAAGACAACAGCCTGCCTTACTGGCCAAGTCGGCCTCATTACCCCCTCCCCTTTCCCTGCCTGCTTGTACACACGGTCTCTGGCCGGAGGGGATGCTTGCAAGCCGATTAGGGCAGAGGCCACGTTTTCATTCTGCCTTTGCACAGCGCCCAGGCAGCAGGCACTGATTTGCAGGCAGGACTCCTAGCTGCTGTTGTTACCCAGGTAATAGCAATCCCCAGTGCTGGAGGCTGCAAGTGGGAGAGGAATTGGAGGTGGGGAAACCTTGTCAGAGCCAGCCCATTCCCTTCCAGCATCTGGTGCGACACAGGAGACTGGGCACCATGGACCCGTGGCGTGACCCAGGACAGGGCCGTTCCTGCTTCTCAGCATCGCAAGGGAATAGCAAGGATGGAGCTGCCCCACAAATGCAACAGGCTCCAGCCCAGCTCGTACGGATCCTCAGACTGCCTAGAAACTGCCCTTGCTAGCCAACCGCAAAACCCATTTGGGACTCTTTTCAGCACGTTCGGCGCCCAGCCGGCTCTGCCGGTAGCTGGCCCTTGGCTTTGGCAGAGGCAGCTGCAGGTGGCTTCTACAACAGTCCTTTTGTCCCTGCCCGTTGCAGCTTGGCACCGGCCTTTTCTGCCGGGGGGGGTCCGGCCCCTGCTGCTTCTTGCTCAGTGGAGGAGATGCTGAGGCCCAGAGCACGCCCCGGTGCCACCTCGCTTTCCTGGATCTTCCCAGCACGGTCCATCTCCAGGCAGAGGGAGCAGGAGGGAGCTGGCAGCTCCATCGAGTGCAGCCTCTGGCCTCGGCCCTGAGCTCCCCCAGCTTCCCTGGGGGCTGGTGCAGCCCCTCCATCTCCTTACCGGTGCTAGTGAGGAAATGGATGTTGTCGTTGCCCAGCCAGAACTCGGATGCGTGGTTCCCAAAGCCCCTCTTGTAGGACTGCCAGCCCCGGTAGAAGTCCACTGACCCATCCTGGCGCCTCTGGAAGACCTGGGAGAGCGCAGGGAGAGCTGCAAAGGCCGCGTGCGGGGAAGGGAGCTGAGTGCCATACGGCCGGCTGCAATGCTCGTGGCCAGGGGACCTTCCGGTGATCCCAGCAAGCTCTGCAGATCCCCTTCCCCAGCTCAGGTGCTGACCCCAGGCCTCTTGCACCCAAGGCATGACATGCTCTGAGGGTACCTGGTGCCACCAGCACCCAGGTGCTCTCGCTGAGACCGGGTGGGTTCAGTTCGAAAGCCTAACAGACCAGAGTTGGCTGCCTGTTCTTGGACCCTAATGAGCCCCCCTGGAAGCCAAGCCCTTGCCCCGCTGCCACCCCGGCATCCTCCCTCCCCCCTGCCAGCTCACACCGGGGCAGCAGCCGGACTCACCAGCCAGCCTCCGCCATCGGTTTCCATGTCACAGAAGACGGTCAGCCTTCTCCCCGGCTGGGGCTGGATGGTGTACCACCCGCTCAGCGCATCCCCCTGCTCCAGCAGCTCCTTGCAGTTCCTGGCTGCTGGCCGGGGAAGCGTTGCGCATGGAGAAGGGAGGCAAGGGAGGGGGTCACTGGTTCTCCGCCGCCCTCAAGTCTAGCCAGGCCCTGCTCCTGCACCCGGCTCCCGGGAAGGGATGCTGGCTGGGACGCCGGGCACGCACACCGTGGCTGGGGCTGACCCTGCTCCAGCTGTGACCCAGAGCCCTGAGCTGCAGCCGTAGGGGAGGTGCCCAGGGCAGGCACCCTATGGCACAGCCCTGCTGCTCTCCAGCCTAGCTGTACCCAGGCACAGCTGCAATCCCACCTCCAGATGCCTGGAGAGGGCACAGGGGAGGGTCAGATGAGTTGTTTCGGGGCTGCTCTCTGCATATGCCAGAGGCAGCCCCTCGGGGAAGCCTTAGCTGGTGTTCTGTGTTGCTCTGGGTCTGCAAACCAGGAACGATCCCACCTGCCCGGAGCTCGTGGGAAGCAGAGGGTGGATGCATGTGGCAGAGCTTGGGGCAACGGGGGTGTGCAAGGGGTAGGACACCTTGGTCATATCGAGCCTTGCTCTTCCATCCTCCCAGCTACTGGAGCTGGTCCCTTAGCTAGTCTGTAGCATCCCCGGCCTTCGGCACGTGGCTCTGGGGCTGATGGTCCTGGCAACCCCTGGGGTCCATCCGGGAGCTGAGCGAGCAGAGAAGGAAGGCACCTACCTGTCTGGGAACAGCTGTCAGGGGCCGGCAGACTGCATGCATCCCCTGCGGAGAGAGTGAGCAGAGGTGTGACGGGGCAAGGGGGGCAACGCACGCATCGCCCCGGGGTGAGGACAGCCTCGTTCCTCTCCTTGCAGGGGATGGTCGGCTCTGATGAGGCTACTGATGCCGACTGGGGCTGGGGGGATGGGGGCTGCGTCCTTCTCACCACGAGCAGCACACAGGTGAGACCCCAGACCCCGGAGGGGATGTGCGGGGAGCACCGCGGTGTCACCAGGACCCCTCCCTGCCTCCCCTTCCCTCCTTCCAGTTACCTTTATCTCCTTTCGGGCCAGCCTTCCCTGGGGGGCCCATGGGGCCTGGCTCACCTGAGACAACAAGAGGCCAGAGAAGGGCATGCTCACCTTTCGACCCGGCTGTCTTGAGACCCCGTGCGGGGGCGGGCGGGGATAGAGCA